GCTTTAAGTAGCCAGATAAGCAGTCTACCTCTGATTGAGATAGTGCAGCAGGTCGCACTTAGGTACCAATAAGGTGGTCGGGTGATGCTAGACTTAGTTATTAGGAAAATTCTATGTAGTTATTGTATATAGATGCAAGAATCTTAATAAAGTACTAGCGTGGTTGCTTAAGAGCAAAAAAAAAAGTATATTATCTAACTGTAAAGCTCAAGAAGCTACTTTTTATTAACTAATCTATCTACTTAATAGACTTTTAACAGAGCTAGCTTCTGCAAAATTTTTACTTAGACATTAATATTTATTTAACAGCATATCTTTAGTATTTTTAGTATTCTTTTATTTTTTTTCTAAACTTTTAATTCAAAAGTCTAATAAAACTATAACCAGTTTATTAATATATTAGATCAGTTTGATATTCTTTTTCTTTAGTCTTTTTAGTTATAATTTTATTAGTCTGATTGGTACTACTTTCTACTTGAAAGTTTTTGCTCACTTGAATACTCTATATTGATATTTGTTTTTTAGATTTAGCTTTTATAATAGTACTGTTAAAGATTTGTATTATCTTTTTATTTAGATTTTTTCAAATAGACTTTTTGTTTTTTAATTTTTATAAATTTATATAACTACAAGAACTTATTTTAGATAGGAGTATAGTGATCTAGTAAAGTGAATAGCTTATTAACTCCTAAGTAACAGGTCTAGAGTTCAAATTTTAGTAATGATAAAAATTTGTAATTCTTTTTGTGTTATAGTTAACTGTTTTTTATGATTAGTTGAAATTAGATATCTGTGTTATATTAGCATGACTGAAAGGTTTAGGCACTTATACAATATTGTATAAAGAATCACAAATCAGTACCAGGTGGTATAAACTCAAGATAAGTTCTTAGGCTATATAAATCACAAGAACTAGGTAAGAAGATGGAAGCCTACTTGGAAGACCTAAGTAGAAAGATAATTTGAACTTTCGATGATGCTACTGTAAAGACTAAACTTATAAAACAGAGCTAGAACTTGTGAAACTAGGCAAATGTGCTAATTTTTGAGAAGGGACTAAATGAACCAATTAGGCTATCAAAATTTTCAGTTTTAGAGAAAAAGAGTACATACTAGTAAATATATAAATTAGAGATGTATAGTTACAATTTATTTTTTCAGGCTATCTAGAATGACAGCTTAGTAATACTTAAATTAAATACCAAAGTAGTAAGGATATGTTGTAAATTCAGTATTAAGATTAAGATGAACTCTACAAAAAAACATAGCAGTTTAATAGTATGCCCTAATTGCCAATGTTGGTCTTAGCTATAGTAATATCAAATCAGCTATAAGAATAAGATACAGAAGATTCTGGAAGGTTTAGTACAAGATCAAGGATTCCAAAGAACTGTTTTAAAAACTTAGTGGCTATAGCATATTTTTATTAATATTGGTCAAGATCATTGGTAAGCAGAAGTAAATAAATGGATATAGAAATTAGAGTAATTAAATAGAGAATCTACAAGCAGGTTCTAGGTATAGCAACTAGTATAAAACCTTTAGGTAAACTACTTAAATTAAACAATGACTAAAGTTATACAAGTGGCTAGTTGTACACTCTTTTTATCAGTATTGGCCAAATATGGACATGGACAATATAGACCAATAGACATGGACAAATATGGACTATGTCCATATTGTTCATATTTTTTAAATGGACATAGTCGCTCAGTCCAAATTTAAAATGTGACTTGTGTACTACAATTTTTTAGAATTCGATTGGCTAAAGTAATCAACATATAATGGTATATATAACGATAATACCAAAAAGAATTAAGATTACATTAAGTTTCTTTTTTTTTAAATTTTCTGACCTTATATACATTGCTTGGAGTATATTATTTTAGTTCTAATAGACTATACATTTATTTGAAATTAAAAACATACTTTGCATAAAATATGCAAATTAATATGATCTTATACTGTATACATGTACAAATCTCTTGTGAAATAGCAATTACATATATAGTAATCTACTAATTATACAACTTTATACTAAAATATGATTCTAATTTTTTTTTTTTTGAGTCGATAAGAGAAAACCTATAATTCTTCATCTAATAAAAATTATAGGTTTTCTCTTTGTAGTATTCATATCAAACCTATAATATAAATTTCTTATGCCTCATACTTTATGCAAATCATATGATATCTTACTAAAGTATATTTCTCTTGAACATCTGCATCTTGTTATAACAATACTGAGATCTAGGTTAATTCAATTCCTCAATATAAAAATGTTTTTAAAAAAACTTTATTACCAAATAAATGTGTTTTGTTACACAAAGCAAAAAATAAACAGGTACCAAATAGTACTGATTGCAAAATAGTCAATAATATTGAAACAAAAATATGTAGATTTAGATGTATGTTTTCTAAACTGATTTATTACAGTTAAAAACAGTACAATTTTTTTTATAATTCTTTTTATAAGTGCTAATTACACTCTTGACCCCCCAAAAGCAAATTAATATAAGCAGGTTGAGTTAATAAATCAGCAAAAATATTTGCCAATTTCTATTTGGCCACCAAATTATCTGCAAGATGAATATCAGAATAAATATCATCTTAAAATATTGGATCATTATTATACAAATTAGTTAAACCTTCTGACTCATTTAAGCTAAACGAATCATATTGCATATAATTACCATCATCTTCTTTGGCCAGGTTAACATACTGTTCTACAATTACTTTCCAGTCATTCACACATCGAACTATTTCTGGCTGTTCAACATTTATTTGACTTTGCCTCATATTAATATCATCATCATTCTCTGATGTGTATAATTCCTCTTTATTATCATCAAGGCTTATTTGTTCATTATTTTCAGGTGGAATACCAATCTTTTGTTTGTATGTTTTTAGTAACTTGTCAATGGCAAGAATATTTCGTGAACGTAAAAGCTCTGATCTTAGTTGGCATATAGTGAGAACTTTTTTATGCTATTATATTATAAAATAGACAAACACATATTGATATCTAATTAATAAAAAAATAATAAAAATAATAAAATAATAAAAATAAAAGAATAGTAAAGTAAGTTTGCCTGAAGTCGATTATGTCACAATGAGTGATACCATCCCATGGCTGAGAATAATCATTCTACCGATGCTGTAGTTATACAAATTGAGAAAATACGGGTTGCTACAAGATGTAATTCTATAGCAACCCCCTTACAAAACTTCTAATATTGTAAAATATCATTGAATTGAATAAAAGTTTTTCTATCAAACAGATATTCTTTGTTTTTATATAATTGTAATTCACGTAAAATAGAACGTAGGGGTTTACCAACCTAAGATTTATAATAATGTACAACTCATCGTTTCAGATTTGTAAAAGACAAATCATCATTGCATTGATTAAATTGTTTAATATGGTAATCTGAATATAATAAAAAAGATAAAAGCAACAATGGCTGCTCCCAAGCAGATCATTGCTTTTCTAATTTTGTTATTAAATAATCTTTAAGCACTTCATCTGAAATACTTTTAATTACTTGATACACCCATTTGAAACTATGTAGAACTTCAGTAAGATGACCTTTATCACATTGAAGTTTATTTAAAGATGCCATATATGGTTCAAGAAGAACCTTTAACTGCATAAGATTTTTCCACCATTTACTATTTGAAATATTTGAAAAAATACTTTTGGGAAAATCTTTAAGACTATCATTATTTCCTTCTTTAATTTTTGTGGCTAAATTTTTAAGAGCAGCATGAGATTTAATAATACTTGCAAAACATAAGTAGT